ATGGAGTTGCACTACTGGCTTTTCCATCAGCAAAAGGAAGTGTGTTTGCCTGCTGCCTGTGAATCAGAGCAGCAGCTCTGCTTACAAACAAGGCACTGAAGCAAAATAGGTGGCCCTATATCTACAGCTTCTTTGCTTACTGCACTGTAAAGACAAGATTGTATGCAGGAATTGTTTTTAATGGGATAATTTGAAACGTTTATTGTTGCTGTTTGGTTACTGTCTATAAAGAGTGTCTGCTTTGTCTGATGCCCAAAAAGCGTTGTGTAAGTTAGAAACATTTTGTATTCATGAGGAAGGCAAATGTGTAAGGTGTTAAAGTGATTTAGTTCAATTGACTGCTGGCTGGATGGCTGAGCAGGAATATTGAGGCATTTAACAATGTTGATGGTATTCAGGACAAACATTTATTCTCCAGAGAGTAGAATTTGATCAGGATGATCAAATGCGACTCACTCTTCTCAATTATTTATGAATTGCGACCCCAGTGCTATTCATCACAGCTGGGTTTTACACCATTTAATTATTCAAAATAATCAACAACACATCTGTAAACTTGGTCTGGCTTTAAGCAGGCTTTGCTTCAGCTGTCACAAAATCACTGCTATTAACAAATGTTGGACACCTTCYGCCTGTGTTTTAGGAAAGAAAAACACTGCTCTAATAGCCTTATTTTTTCCCTGCCTCCTGGAGCTGCCTGCTGTGAGCACTGTGCTGTGGCAGCCAGTTGGAGAGGGCTTTGGCCAATTAGTCCCGTTGTGGGGAGCACAGGGAAAGGGAAGTTAAACTCCTCCGACTGCACTGCCTGCGCCAAATTCTATTCTCTGTGCTGGCTTAAAACTTGGAGCGTCTGCTTTGAAGTCAGGGGAGCTACTCCAGATGTATTTCTCCACAGCTGAGGTCTCRGCTTCCTAAATGTAAATGAAATCTCCTGTTAGAGTAAGGAGTAGGAAGAGGAACAAGGCGATCTCTGGGATAAACCACCCAGCTCTCTCGTGGCTGGTGTTCTGCCCTGCTGTGGGCCTGATTTGAAACCCAGGGTTTTTCACAGAGCATGTGGGTAAAATGTTTSTCAAGTGCCCAAACTGACTCAAAGGTCAGAATTCTAGTTTGCAGAGTGGCTGAGGGATAGTGGGACTCAAGGTTGCATTTACACAGTAGCTGTTGGAGTGGCTGTAGTGCTTCTTCTTACATCCAGTCAGACCCAGCCATGGTCCATGTACTGGAGTTACATCTGCCAGCTRTGGAGAAGACTTAGCTAATGTTTTATGGAGAAATAATAAGATTCCAGCTARACARAAAATCCMCTGTTACAGGGCTCCTAGCCTTAGGTAGAAAGTACCMCAGCCATTTGATACCGTGGAACTTCTGAAAAGGCGTAATGGATTSTGCAGTCACACAAAAAATATGGSTTTTTGCAYCTAAAAGKAAAAGAGGATGGCAAGGAGATGCTRAAATAATGTCATCAATACTGCAGRATAAATAAATCTTCCCAAAGGTAGCCAGTGCATGATATTTTCTAAAAGAAAAAAGGATCAAAAGTCTCTTCAGAAATTTCTGTGGCAGGAGGTTTAAGATAGAAGCTGAAAARCAGAACACTAATCTAGGCACACACATACACTGCCCAATGTGGAAGGTAAACATCCTCCATTTATTTGTTGCTACATTTTGGTGTCTCTTGCTGGTTTTTTTTGGCAGCATGTTGAGGGCTGTGTTGAGTTGTTTTTTACATGAAAAAGATTCCTTTGAAAGTAAATTGTGTGAATACTCCCTCCTCCTCTTAAATTGAGCTGTAATTACAGCTAAATATTTCGTGAATGTGCTTAGGAAGCATTTTATGTGCACAGGAAAAAAGTGCTTTGAACTCACAAATCTTCCCTTGGAAAGTACATCTAAAATGAATCCTTATTCCCTTTGGGTAATCATAGTGCAAGTAGCCAGCTTTATTGTCTGATGATAGCTGGGTTTTCTTGTATATATAGAATTGTTAAGATTTCCTTTGAGTCCCGTGAATTTTCAATTTTTGATATAAATTGGAAATACAGGATCCAATTTAATACTGAACAACAAATAGCTTTTTAAAATAAAGATCCTGCATCACTAGTGTTGGTCTCTAACATAATTCTTTATATTCARCCTTGCAGTTTGTTCAGTACTAGACTAAAAAGCATTCAGGGAAGGTTTTTGGCTTGCCCTCAGGTAGCTCCAGCACTGCCTTGCTGTGGTGTGCAGGATGAGCTACCACACCCGTACAGGGGCACTGGGGCAGGGTTTGAGGGCAACATTGAACAGAGATTGAAAGACTTTCTGAGCCAGAGATTATATCTACTCCTTGTCTAGCCAGAGATTTTCTTGGCATCATTACATTTAACAGTCTTTGACAGACCTTTCTTCTATAAATTTTTAATTGTTTCTTGAACCCTTTTAGGCTTCGGGTGTCCAAATCATCCCATGGCAATGAATTCTACAATTTGTTCCACAACAACAGACTTCCTTTTACTTTTAATTCATGTCTTACAACTCCTCTTGGTGCGTCCTAGTTTTTACATTACAAAGTGCATCCCTGTTTACTTAAATGTCTCTCACGAGTCTGTCTGCCTTTTTATTCTTCCTAATAATCCATTTTCAAATCTGAAGAAGTCTAAATTATTCACTTTGCTCTTTTGGAGGAAGCCACTCTAGATTTACAATGTCTTGCTCCTGCTGTACCTTTTTTCTTTCCTTTACCACARCCTTGGTAAGGAAGACCAGAGCTGTGCACAGTATATGACCGGTGGTTTTACTGCAGAGTTCAGTTTTCAGTTTTCTATTACTTTTTTCCCTCCTAACACACATTTGGTTTTTAACAGCCACTGAGCACTCAGCTGACACCTCCAGAAAACTATTGACTGTGACCCCAAGGTCTCATCACTGAATGGCAATAGCAAATTGGGAACCTGTCAGTATGTATGTGTCGTTAGGGTTGTTTTTTCCCCAAGTACATCAYTTTGCATTTATCAACATTGAATTTCATTTGCCATTTTGTCACTCGGCCACTCAGTGCTGTGAGATTGTTCATCTTCCCTTCACAAATAGCTTTTGTTCTAATTATCCTGAATAATTTTGTATTGTAAACACAYTTTGTCTCGTCTGCAGTCCATTTGTGAATAGGTTAGGTCCCCATAAGGTCCCACCAGTGAAAGCTGAACACTGGCAATTCCTGGGCAGGTAGTCCCACCTCTAACCTGGTAATGCACAAGGCGAGTTTTCTTTTTGCTCCAAGACCAGAATGGCTTTTTTAGTAATATTTTCTGAGAGGTCTTTTCACACATTTTGGAAATTGATATGCTGCTCTCTTCTAGACAGTCTGTAGACTTTTTCAGGGACCTTTTTTCAGAGTGTTGGAGGCATTCACTAGCTCTGCTCCTCTACTGCAGAGTCTCGCAGTTTGCCCCACAGAGAAGTCAGATGTAGTGGGCTGCAGTGCCTAAAACCCCTTCTGGATCTCATTTTAAAAAACTGATGTCACATTTTTCATCCTCTATTCCCCTGATAGCCTGACTATATAGGACATGTGCCCTCCAAATTCCTGTATCAAAAAGAGTGTGAAGTGCCACCTCCCACGGCAGAGCTTTTCACTCCCTCCCCCTGGCCAGTTACTGGAATAACACAGTAAGTTTTTTTGAGTAATCGTGTCCTTTTGCTCTAAGAAAGGAGCCAAGAAATCACCTTCCATCCCCAAAGCTAGCTGTGAATTTTTACAGTTTAATGCAGCATTTGGATTTTTGAGATCAGACAATTTTATTTCCCTCCTCCGTAATTGTGGAGTGGGCTGGTCAGTGCTGCTGTGGGAGCGATTAGAGAGGGGGAATGCAATCTCTGCAGACCTCTCCTGCCTGTGGCTGTGTGAGTGTAATGATTCATTACCAATTTGGARTCTGAACAGGCTCGCTGAACTTGGAGGCAGGCTGTCTAGCTCCCTCATCACATAAATTGAAAATATCTTTATACTCCAGTGGCACCTTCTTCTAAATGTCCTGAAATGTAAGAAAATAACATAAATCTATATTTCCAGCGATGTGGCAGGGATTTGCTAACGTTATTCTCGTGGTTGCTGCTGCTCAGGGCAGGGGTCACTGGCTCTTTTTAACCGGGGGCCTCAGAACGTTATTCTTTAGCAAAGGGTCRCATTGAAGACAGATAATGCTGCACTTTGCACACTTCTTGAGATGCTGAAAACCCAGAGTCGTTATAATGACATCCCTTACAGATAAGACACAGCTCACACCAGGCACATGCTTATAGCTGCATCTGCACCAAGGAATTTGGCAGTAGAAAGATGCCATTTCAAAGAATGCAGCTAGCAGGGAATACTGCACTGGGAATGTTTTGTAAACCTGGSCCAAAATTGTCTTAATTAGAGGTGTTCTCAGCCTGTGCTTTGCTGTGCTGAAACCAGAGGGAAGGAGGTGGAGGAGGAAGGGTTGCTGCAGAATAGGGCCTTCCTAGAGTTCTCAATTCTTATGTCACTGCTTCACCCACCCTCAGAAACTGGCATTGTGAATTAAGAGATGAAGAGAAGCAATAAAGAAAATTCAAATATCTGGGGTTTCTATTACTAACCACAGTACCACAGCCATTCCCAAGGTTTCTGCCTGGAAGCCCTGCAAGGATGAGCCATTGGTTGGGCAATGCAAGGTTTTGGTCAGACTCTGTCACCTTCCCTCCACCATCCTTTCCCCTCTCATGCATTTACAGTTTTTAGCTATCTGTTGATGTTCTTTCTGTGTTGAGTCCTTTTGGTTTGTTTATTTTCACCTCTTTCTAGRCTGTCCCCAACTCACCCCTATCTCAAGTGCCATTGGAGAGTTTATACCACTGCTAAATTATCACAGAAATCTACACTGTTCCTGTGGGATAGCTTCAAATATTATCTGCAGTCTCTGTTGGTATGCTGTCTTTATGTTTGCTGTGATAAAACAAACAGCAAGGGCACTACCACAGAATTCTTGTAATTTGGGATTAAAATGACATCTCACAACTGATACTGGGGGTGGATGAACGACCTGCTTCCATGCTGAAAAATATCAATGTTAATATCAAAACATARCCAAGGATATCCTCAGGTTTAGTCGCTCAGATTAGGATCCTTTCTTTGTTGTGACTCCTCCTCATTGCTATTCATAGGCTTTCACAGTTCAGCCCCTGCCAGGACATCAGCCTGGAGTAATGGGAAACAGCAGCAGCAGTGCTTTGTAAGGCCAGATCAAGAGACCAWGTTCTGCTCAGCTGCTGTAGCAAAAATTCCTGCTCAGAACCTCACACTGCCAGCAAGACATTGGAGCAGTTTGATTTTACCCTTAAATGGAAATTCTTTGAAGTTTAGAAGAAACTAATCTGTAACTTGTTTCAGAAAGGCAATTAAAATGGGTCGTTAAACCTGGGTGTATCAAATTCCAATTAGCATTAGCATGGACAATATAATTAAAAGGTAAATTAGCCATAATGGCATAGACTAGAACACTTCTTACAGTAACTAACGGTCAATTGAAACCATGTACTTTGGTTTTTCGGGTTGTCAGTGATAAGTTGAAAGGACAGAATAAAGCCTGTRTCCATTCATCCTGGGACAGTAATGTGTTCTGGGAAGTTAAACATGAGGAGCAGCAGTGTGCGAGCCAGCCGCCGTTAAAATCACTGGAGGAGACTAAGCAGGATTAAGCAAAGCCAAAGGAAATATTCTAGAGCTGCAAAGTTTATGGATGATTTATGGATGTGGTGATACAAACGCTATCTGTCCTACTCCAAGGTGCCAGGAGCAGCTGGGGGAGGACTTTGTTTAGGCTGAGCTGCAGTGAGCAGCCTGGGGTCAGCCCTGACCTGGTGACCTGCAAGCGTAGGTTATAACAATAATGCAATTGTGGTGATGTTCTAAGTGCAACTGAAGGACTTGGTGACCAGTAAGGTTTAGAAATCTCAGAATGTTCATTAAATAAGCAACAGAAAATGCTGCGGAAGTGTATATGTGATACACACAAATGTGGTAAAATAGCATAATTAAAATGGGGACTTTGGGGGACTTTCTCCAGGGTATTGTTTATTAACACTGGAGTGTCCTCTTCCACCAAGGGGTAAATAACACTCTCAACAGAGGCACAGATAGCAGGCTGCAACTAGCCTTGTCTCCCTGCAGCCCTTTGTGCATTGATGAAAGGCAACCACCTGGGCTTTAATAACAGAGGAAYGTTAACTTAGGCCTTACTGGCTGGTGGGGGGAGCCTGTGGTTTAGTAATTTGCTGTTAGAATTTGGAGAGATGAGCCTTGGAGGGGTAGGAGACRGTGGATAACCAGCTCATGCTCTCCACCCTGTCTGTCCATGCAGCACAGCCAAACCCGGCCCAGMAGAGCTGGAGATGTCCTCAGTCCCCTTCTCACTGACCCCTTCAATGTCCCAAAGCCTTGGCTGTGTCCTGGACTGGAGGGGAGGGCTGAAGGCTTTAAAAAGACAAAAATAGTTGAGGCATATTGGCAAGGAGAAAGCTTTTCTGGACTAGTTTCCTTTTACTGTGCTTTTGCATTGTGCAGACATACGAATGCTCCATTACAGCAGCTTTCCAGAGTATTAAAAACCATTTAGAATGCTATGTGTTAAGAAAAGCCATTTTCAGATCATCAGCTCTCACAGCGTCAGACCTCCTTTTCCATTGCTGTGTTTTTCACCATCTTAGCTTAATCTTCCTCTTCTATTAACTTTATATTGGCCAGCTGGGAACATGTACAGTCGAGGAAACAGCCACCATCAACATAAAAAGGTTAATTAAAATGATTAACCTCACCAACAATTCCCTTATGGAAAAATCCTATAGAATTTAATAGAAATGATACATTTACTATGTAGTATTTAAACTGTCAGAAAAAATTCCTTAGCAGGGAGGTAATTCCCTATTAAATTCTATAACTTCTCAGAGTATTCTCCACAGAATCTTATTGGATTAATCTGTATTAAATTCTACAGCATTTGGCATAAATTTTTCAATGCTAGTAACTTCTGAAGAGAATTTTATAGTGAYGCAGGGATGTAGGGTTTGACAAGAAGCTTTTCAGAAACAGGGAGGGTATTTTTTAGGAGTRACCTGTAACCATACAGCAGTGATGTTCTATGATTTCTAAATGCAAAAATAGGTAAAACAAAATTACATTTAATCAACCTAACATGTAAATATCGCTGCTTTTCCATCTATAAGTTAGGCTGAACTGACCCTGCCCATTGTGTAATCTGAAGTCCTTGCTCACTGGAGCTGACAGGCAGAATTAGGGGAAGAGCACACTCTAATATGTTTTTTATTCATTTGATGGAAGTGGAACTATGAAAATTCTATTAGGGACAGCTGAGAGTTTTGCTTGATTTGTCTTTGTCTTTACTCAGCTCATCTCCTTGAGCACAGTATGTTTCTCCCTATGGAGGGCTGGGAAGAGAGACAGAAGCAATTGTTATTTGGGAGTGTCACATGGATATAAAAGCTATAAAACGTTCAAGGTTTTAGTGTGCTTTGCACTTTTAAAATGTAAATGCTGGGGAAGATATCAAAATTGCTATGCAAGTCCTTTGTGAAATGTCTGCATAATGCTGAACTCCTACATCTGCTGTTTGTATAGCATTTCTTGTGATAATTTTTCTCTGTCACTTAGCTCGTGATCTTTGTAGCAGCTGTGAGCTCCTAATGACTTTCCCTCTTAGGTTCTATACTGTTATTTTTAAAGTCTGAAGTACAAAGTAATTTGGCACTTCCTCACATATCCTGGGGGGAAATCAGTTCTGTTTGGTGCAATTTCTGGGAGTCACAAAAGATTTCAATACACATCATTTCTTCCACAACTTTGTAAACTCCAAATTTTAATTTTTTTTTGTTTGTTTCAACAAAGTGTCTTTAAATGAAGAATATTTATGCTAGTGATAAAAAGGGGGTTCTCTTTTTCAGGAGGATTGTGGTTAAGCAGATACTAAAAAGGTTTACCTTGGAGATGRAAATACTTGTGAGTGATTCAGTTTGTAGGGCAGTCTCTGAAATATGTAACTGTCTAGGGGAATGGCTGCTTCTCTTCAGGGTCAAAAAAAGACCCTCCATTGCCCCATTTCAATAGCCCTGTATTTTTTTGTTGAACAGAGTAAGGGATAGGTTGGGAACTAAATAATTCCATGGGAATTAGGTATCTAACCTCCAGCCCCAACTAGACAATAATCTGCATCCCTGGCTTCATGAACACCCTGGCAAGCTTGGCATCTCTCAGCTTTATAAATATATATATATATTTATACATGGATGCAACCTTTTCTTCACTGTATCAGGGGCTGTTAATCAGTGTCCAAGCTGTGGTATTTAAAGCACTSACTGTTATCTTCAGAGATCTATTTTATTTGTATTTTACAAAAGGCATCTCTCTGCAGAGAACTAACAAAAGGTCAGTGCCAAACTTAAATGTCAGAAACCCCATTTTGAGAGGTTATAAGCAGATAARTTGTCCAGTGGTCAGAAGTCTTCTGTTGCAATATTTTTTGTTCTTAGTTCCTTACACTGCACTCTTACCTCTAAGGCATCCTGTCTCAGCTCCCCAGGGAGGGACAGAGTGGGACATGGCAGGAGATGCAGTCAGAAGGTGATGGACTGGTGGTCACAGGGGACAGGTGGCCCTCAGGGTGCTCATCTGTCCCCAAGCCTGTGGAGAGGAGTGTGACCCTGCTCCAGGGACAGCTGGCACAGCTCAGTGTAAGAGAATACAACATACAGGACAATAATGAAAGACTGTGTTGAACCCAGCAATTGTGACACTGATACTTTAAACGTGKTTTCTGTGAGCTGTTGCAAAAGGACAGAAAGCTCAGGTTTTTTTGACTGACAAATTTTCCATTTGAATAATTTTTCTGCCCAGGAAGTGCAGCGCTGTACGGCTGACATGAACATCACTGCAGAGCATTCCAACCATCCTGACAACAAGCACAAGAACAGATACATCAACATCCTGGCCTGTAAGTAAGCTCTGGTCTGAGCACAATGAATCAGCCCAAAAAGGCACTCTCCTCTTGCTGTGTGTGTGTGACTGGGACAGGCAGTGGCCCCATGTTACATTATTACACATAATAAGTAACCCTAATTAGTAATAAACATGTGAAAGTGTGACTGGGAGATCCTTTTCCTGCTAAAGGTAGTGAATGTTTTGACCTCTCCAGGGCCAGAATTTCACTCCAGYTTTTGTTTTGAAATGTTTCACAGTTTGACAGTCCAAGCACAGTTTTCAAAGTRTAAGTTTGGTATGAAATTTTGCAGAGGAATAACTGGGATAAATTGATGATCAGAGCTCTTCTGCCTGCTAACGCCTGAAAACTGGCCTGAGGGAAGTGCATGGTGGAGCAAAGAGTTTTACTGATGATTCCTGGGATTACCTTACAATCCCAAAGGTGCTAAATCTTACAGAGTGTATCTGCTGTATTTCAAACTGCTTTAGCTGTGTGTAGGATTTGGACAAATAGTGATCTTCRTAGCACAGAGCAGGCTTTGCCTGTATCCCTCTGAGAACTGCAAATCCAGACTCTGCTCTAGAATGCAAATTATCTGGGATGGCAGTGCAGTAACTTTTTCCSTATTGTTCTCTGATGTGGAGTGAATGGCAGATGCAGTAGATGCTGGTTTAGGAACAGACATGTAAARGCCACTGGTAAAAAGTTCACAATGTTCATAAACATAGCAATACATCTTGAATGCTTTTGATAGCATAGGAAGGAAATGCATGTCTAACAGATTTTTAGAAGTAATCAAGGTGCTGGCTGAGGACYAATTCCCAGACCTGTGAAAGGCTTGGTATGTGGCCTTCAGTGAGCAAAGGCATTCAGTGAGTGTGTCCCAGTTGTGGTTTTAGACATAGATGTCTGGTCCCTCTAGGCACAGAGATGTGACACTAAAGGAGAATTGAAGCACTCCAGTCTTTCTGTTGTCATTGGAGAAACCTCTCTCTCCATTGGTCCTCAAGGAAGGCAAATGAAACCAGTTTTTATGCTTCAAGTTGGCTCACATCTCATCTATGCATGAGTTGGAAGGACCACCCTGCCTAGGAGCAGGAGGACTGTGAATATTTTCTGCTTTAAGATGGAGCCAAGCATTTAGGTGAAACAAAAAGAGCAGCTAAAGATCACAACCTGAAGTGTATCCTTGTGGTGTGATCAGGGTGGTGAAGGAGTGAGGACACTCACTCAGCTCCCARAGCCAGCAGAGCTGTCTGAGCCCAGCACTGAGGGGAGGATAATGAGCTGAGCCAAGCAGAGGCAGTGTGACACAGCCCCGTGGGGTGCCCTGGCTCTCTGAATCTCACTGCTTCAAGTGATGTAGATGATCCTAGAAATTGTGCTCCTGAGGCTCCAGTGCCATTTAAAGAGAAGCTGTCCCAGCATGAGCCACGTACTTTAAGGGATGTGAAGACTGATGACCTGCGCATGAGCAGATGACAAAGAACAGATACTCCCATCTCCCTCTGGACTCCAGTGCCAGGCCAATTGTTTCTGTGTATTAGTAGGCAACCCTGATACCCAGGAAATGGGATGTTTGCCTGCAGTTCTGAACTGTGTTTCCCTRATGTTTCTCTGCTCTGTTTTTAAACCTGCAGATGATCACAGCAGGGTGAARCTAAGGCCTTTACCGGGGAAAGATTCTAAGCACAGTGACTACATTAATGCTAATTATGTCGATGTAAGTTGTTTTAATGGTTTTTATCTGCTCTACCTGTGAATCCTTCCAAAGGAGGAAGTATTGTCACTTGTGAAATAATTGCATTTTCCAACTTCACCTGTTAATTTTGCTACAAATTCCTCCCTATTCTGAATGAAAAAAGCACCTTTCTTGTTACCTCTAAAATATTAATTTTTCTGCYATGATACTGCTTTCATCTCACTTGGCATTATGGTTTTCTTTGAAGGGTTACAACAAAGCAAAAGCCTACATTGCTACCCAGGGACCTTTAAAGTCTACCTTTGAAGACTTCTGGAGGATGATTTGGGAACAAAAYACTGGAATCATTGTCATGATCACGAACCTTGTTGAAAAAGGAAGAGTAAGAGATTTTCTCATTTGTTAGCAGTCACTGCTTCTTAACACTTCCCCAAATCACCTGGGCAGAATTTGTTTTTAAATGGTTTGAGSTGACAAGTATTGATGCATAATACATAACTAACAGAACAGAGGGCTACATACCTAGCCATGATTTTTTTCAAAAAGCTCTAAACACAAATACAAAGCAGCAGCTCAGGCCCTTAGCCAACTCACCCAACTGTGTCTGTGTTCAGAGGAAATGYGATCAGTACTGGCCGACAGAGAACAGCGAGGAGTACGGCAACATCATCGTCACGCTGAAGAGCACAAAYGTCCACGCCTGCTACACCGTGCGCCGCTTCACCATCAGGAACACCAAGATGAAAAAGGTGAGCCAAGCCTTTGCTGCTCCCACCCAGGTGCCTTCTGGCTTGTACGGGATACAAGACACACCATAGCAAAACTCAGTGTTTGCATAAGGCAACCTGGAGGCCAGGTGGGTGGGAAATAAGTAAGCAAAGCCTGGATTACAAGGGGCCTGTTGTTAAGGTTTAGCYTGTATTTCTTTTTCTCAAGTGCACTGCTGCTTTGGTGTCCTTGAGGTTGCTGTTATTACCTGTTCCCACATGTATTTTTCCTCAAACTCTGTCTCCACCTAGCAGGAGGCAGAGCTGCAGGTTTGTTCTGTCAGAGTCCAGCACTTTCTCAGCTGAGCAAGCCAGAAGGACTGATGATATTTCTATGCTTCTTTTCCCTCTTCTCGCTCTTGTCTGTGTGCACCCTTGGCACACAGGGTCAGAAAGGGAACCCCAAAGGGCGGCAGAACGAGAGGACGGTCATTCAGTACCACTACACGCAGTGGCCRGACATGGGGGTGCCCGAGTACGCTCTGCCCGTGCTCACCTTCGTCAGGAGATCCTCRGCAGCCAGAACCCCGGACATGGGACCAGTGGTGGTGCACTGCAGGTACGATGGCTGTGACAGCTCCCATGGCAAGCACAGCTAAAGCTCAGTTAAGACAAACTGTGGGTTACTAACACAGGAGGAGCGTGCCAGCCCCAGTGCACGTGAGCTCACTGTGCCTACATCTTAAGACAGCTCCAATGCAGAAGCTTCCCAGCTGACACAGGGGTTTGCTCATGCCATGATACTGAACTGCTGAATTGCAGTGATGTGGTTGGGAAGCTCCTTGGTCAAAGCTTGTTTGTAGCTTGCCTGTTCACTGCTGGGAACCAACAGTGTGGATACACGGACACCTGGGCATGCAAACATCACTGACCCACCAGCATTTGCAGTCAGAGCAATAGGTCAGTTGATAAAACAGTTCAGGGATGTGTTCTTCATTGCTGTGTGTGAGGGGGCTGCACAGTACCCTAGCAAGGAGGAGAGGATGATGGGGATTACAGCTTCTTCCTCAGCAGAAGCTGAGAATTTCTAAAGCATTCCCATCTCTCTCAGCCCTGGACCACTCTCCTTCCCTGCAAGGAGTGCTGCCTCCACAGGATCAGCCTCTCTCATACCTTCCCATAGTGCTGGTAACCACTTGCATTTCCAGCTCCACYATGCAGTTTAGGCTTTACCTCAAGGCTGAAGCCAACCAGGACAGCCTCACAGTGACCTTGGCAATCCAGGATAGCAGCAGCTTGGCCAAGGGTAGATCTTTGTATGGCTTCATCCAGCCAGCACCAGTAACAGCAGCAGTGGGAAAAGTCGAAGTGTGAAATCCAGGGCCATGGCAGCCTCACACTCATGCTGCTGGCACAGGTGTGATGGCTTGTATTGTGTTCWGCCTCATCTTGAAGCACAGAAATAYCCACTGGTAATATTTWGAGAAAACCAAAATATTTTGCTGGGAAATTCTAATGGTTGAAGCTGGAGGAAAATGAAAGACTGTGAATAGGAGTATTTGCTTAGCTCTGTTCTACTGTTACTTYTGCATTTGCTTTCATCTGCCTGTATTTATTTCATGGGTTTCTCTTATGCTCTCTGCAGTGCTGGTGTTGGCAGAACTGGTACCTACATTGTGATAGACAGTATGCTGCAGCAGATAAAAGATAAAAGCACAGTTAATGTCCTGGGTTTCCTGAAACATATCAGGACACAGCGCAACTACCTCGTCCAGACAGAGGTAAAAATTGCAGTGGGGTTGAATTTAAAGCCTTRTTCATTTTTGTTTTGTAATCAAAAGGAGAATAGATTTTTCCAATTACAACCTTGTAAAAATTGAATATATTACTGATACGTTTCTGCAGTGGAATGTCTCTCTTTTTCTAGACCAGAAACTTCAGATTTTAACTCGTTCAGAGTTGTTTGTGCTACATTTATAAATGTTTATGCTGAATTTGGCAGTATTTGCATGGGTGGCTTGTTTTGCACACCCTTTCCTTCAGTGTGCAACACCCCTCAGACAAAGCCAGCTGTTTGGGTTATCCTTMGTGTTTACCTGACATGCTGATGCTTTTCTAGGAGCAGTACATTTTTATTCATGATGCCTTGTTGGAAGCCATCCTCGGGAAGGAGACTGAAGTATCTGCCAACCAGCTGCATAGTTATGTTAACAGCATCCTCATACCTGGCATAGGAGGGAAGACACGACTAGAAAAACAGTTCAAGGTAAGTCTTAATCACTGCCATCCAGAGGGACCTAATTTTCCTACACTCTTTTATATGGCCTGTCRTCACTGTCAGTTGTCATGGCTAATGAACCAAACCAGAACATTTGATTAGCACAGCACAACATCTTGAGAAGTTCAGTTCTCTGCAGTCTTAGCTACACTGCTGCTCATGCTCTTTAGTCAGAGGTGACAAGAGGGACATTGACTGGACTGTGCTGCTGGTCTCCCTGTTCCCAAGGGGGCTTGGATGTTCCCAAGTCTGTGGTTAGCTTGGCTGGGAGTCTTCCTCCAAACTCTGGCTCTCACGCACATAGATACAGGGAAAGACAGGAGATGAGCTCTTTGCACCATCTCCTGTTTCATCACTGTAGAGAAAGGGCTACAAATGTTTTAAGATTAGGAAACACAAAATGCCTTTCTCATTTTTTGGGGTTATGGAAAAGCCTCCCAGCTRGAAGGGGCCTRTRTGCTCTGTTCCCACATTGTTACACTCATTGCTAATCACAACACTTGCTGCWTTTCCTGTTATGTCATAGCTGCTTTCTTCCTGGCCAAAGTAATTTTTGGTTTTTTGCCCAGATCTCTTATCTGAAACCCAAGATTTTCTGATCGCAGTTTATTTGAATACATTGTAAAATATTTTGTGAGAGGTTGTATCATAGAGAGATTATTCATGACATCTGTTTTCACAGCTAAACTCACTCAGTTAATAACTACCCAATAACTACCCAAAGAACGGAAGCAGTTAAATTACACCAGGTGCCAAACTATTAAAAAAAATGAACAGGCTCTTCTCTGAATTCACTTGTAGGAATCTCAGGATTTCTCCATCACTCAAGATATTCCAGATGTTTAATTACTGAATTAAAAAAACAAGCACAAGCACACGCACATGCTCAAAAGGCGTGGGAGAAAAAGATACCTTRTTTTAAAAAATGCTGCACTTTTATGCACGATGCTAAATTATATGTATAAATTATATGTTTTCTGATGACTCRTGGCRAAGTTTGAAAGCGCTAAGTGTCATWTTCAGAAATTACTTTCTCTGACAACATTGCAGAGTTATTTAGAAATCCCATAACTTCTAATGGGGCTTATGCCAGTGCATAGATGAGTTGAGTGCTGTCTTGTTTAGAGTGCATTTCTAACTGGGATGTGACCAGCAACAGTTATTAGATCTTTCTCTTTGTTTCTGCTGCTGCCACAGAYCTGGCAGAAAATAACTTGTGCTCATGCCCCAGTACAGCAATTTCCATTCAACCACCTTAGAGTGAAATGACACTGAGTGACGAGGTGTGAGTGCAGGAGATGTGAAAGCCACCTTTACTCTCTTCGCTCTGGCAGAGTTTCCCCATGCACTGGGGGAATATTCAAACACAAATCTGCCTTTCTTTGTGCCTCTAAGCAGCCCAGAATGAAGGCAGACCAGAGAACGTAACACATGGCCTCAGATCTCAGATGCCAGTGGAGTGGGTTCCCCAAGGCCTGGCAGAAAAAGACATTCTGCAGCAATGATCTGGCTTTTATTTTGAAAAAAAAACCCAGTATTAAAGTTTTGTTRTTGCTTTTATTCCTCAAGATCTGCTTCTGACTAAACATATCTGAAAGTCTGTGAAATATATTCTCAAAGATAATGAAATGTAGTGTTCTGTGAAAATACATTTTGATGGAACTTCATTTCAGGATGTTTCAAAGCTGAGAGCTGCAGAGATCTTTTTATCTATTAAACATGTTGTATCGAAAGGATGATTTCCACTGGAAACTTGAGTACTTTAAACAAGTTTAACAATGCAGTTTATTCTTCTAGTAATGCATCTTTGCAGGAGTTGGCAAAGAAGCCTCCTCTCTTCATTTAGAGCGCTCTGAGGACTGACTTACTACTTTATTCTCTTTCAGCTGGTTACACAGTGTAATGCAAAATACGTGGAATGCTTCAGTGCTCAGAAAGACTGCAACAAAGAGAAGAACAGGAACTCATCAGTCGTGCCATGTAAGATCACATCTTCGGTTTGATTACTGCCTAGCATAACTTTTTGTACCGAATTCTCCTGGTGTTATGCATGAAAAGGCATAGCCACTAGGAAGGGGAAATGTAATCTTTTGTTCAGCCCAAGCTGTCTTGTCTTCCAATATTACCCTGATGAAACTGAACAAAAGGAAATAGTTGCAGTGTCAGCCAGATATACTGTCCAAGTGAAATGTTAATTTGAAGTGCTTAAGCATTTGAATAATTAGGTAGGGGATAAATCTGTGGAATACTGAGAGATTACTTTGATACCAGCTCCCAGCTCTGGTGAGATCTCCCAGAGTGATTGGCACCAGTTGTTTGTAATTCAGCTACTGCACTCCATTTCAGTGTGTGAGCCGCCCCAGATTTGAGGGTATTTAGTGCCTGAGGACACAGTTTCACAGTCATTAATATGGAATCTGTGCGGGGCTGTCAAGCAGTATGAACTTGCACCAGACCAAGCACAACGTCAGTACAGGACACAGAGGACAGATGACAGCCAAGCCAGCACAAAGTAATAGTGGCACAGACACAGTCCATCAGGGAGTTTAATAAAAAGRGAAGTCATCAGAATACATCTTAAAAACAGATGGGAATAGACCAGAAATAGTCTGTATGATTTGGCCCTTTGCGTCACGCAGCTGCAGTGATTTCAGTTTGGCTTTTGGGGCCTGTCAGGGGGTTTGGGGATGATGTTGAACCCAGCCCTCAAACACAGAGAAGCATGGAGCTGCAGAAGAGCACACACACTTCTGGGAGGTTCCTCATTAGGGAAAAGGTTTGTYTCTAGAGGTTCTCTCACCCTGTGAGAGATGCAGTGCTACAGAGYGGTAAGGAAAACAAAATAAATCAGCTGGGTTTGTGTGCTGCTGGAGACAAATGGAACACTATAGACAAGAATTACCCGAAATCCCCTGTTATCACTGCATATACTGTTATTTGGTAATTCAGCCTGCTGTGAAAATCTTTGCTATAGTAAAATTTGATTCCTGAAATTACTTTGTCCTTGTGGGAATATTGTGCAACATTCTCTTTTATATCCTGTGTTAGCAGGCAGTGTTTTAACGCAGTTAAAGTGCTGGCCTGCTCCTGTGGGAGATGGGAGCTGCACACTGTTTGCTTTGTTAACGGCTGAAAAATTCTTACTTTCTGCATTGTGCCATGACCAGACTTTGATCTTTTTTTTTTTTTTTTTAATGTTATAGCTGAGCGTGCTAGAGTGGGCTTGGCACCGCTGCCTGGAATGAAGGGAACAGATTACATTAATGCCTCTTATATCATGGTGAGGAAGCCAACACCTAATTACAAAGTAAAATCAATTCTAAGGTGCTAAATACCAGATGCCTATAATTGTCYTAATTCTGTATGTAATGGCTGTGTATTAACAGATGAGATTTTAACACCTTCCCCATAATGTAAAGCTATTAACCGTGTTTTATTAAAGATTCTTGCCTAAAAAAATTAATTACAAGATGCATTTAGATGGARTGTGCATTTCCGTGAGATACAGTCAAATAAATACTGGGATTTAAAGTAAATTAAAGCAGTAGGGACTCTGTAGAATTGAAATGGAGTTAAAAAAATACAGTCTGTGTGAAAAATATTGTGAAATAAAATGAAATAGGGTCATTATATGTCCCCAGAGATTAAAGTAATGCTTTAAAAGTAGGGAAGGCAGTAAATAACTGTGTGTTTGTTTTGCTGCAAAAGGGCTACTACAGGAGTAACGAGTTCATCATAACCCAACATCCACTGCCACACACGACTAAAGATTTCTGGCGAATGATCTGGGAYCACAATGCACAGATCATTGTCATGCTGCCGGACAACCAGAGCCTGGTGAGTAGCCCGTGTCCCTCCCTTCGAGGTGCCACTGTCACAGCCCAGCTGGGCACAGYACAGGGTCACTCAGTTGCCTGCTGGGGCTGTTTTCTGGCTGAAAGCAAAGCCAGTTTTGGAGCCACCTTCTCAAACTTTGCCACAAGCTGGTTATAAAGGGATAAGTTCCATGATGTGGGGGCTTTTCTGTTGCTCTCACCTTCTGCACTCACCCCTGGACACCCAGGGCTGATGGACCACGGCGCTCACAGGAACACAGGCCCATTCTGGTGACATCTGCAAGGCTCCTGAGGGCTGCTTGGCAGCAGGCAAGCACTGAGGGCATAGAGAGGCTGGGGTTATGGGTAAGGACTTTGAGACGAGTAGAAATGCAAGGTAGGGACACCAGAATAATTGCTTGTTTGCCTGCAAGCTTAAGCCTCAGGCTGTGCAAGGCTATGGCTGTGCAAGGCCTCGCATGCCGTTTTTAATGAAAGTAAAAAGCAAACAAGGATGTTAATTTAAGTGGAAATAATGAGTCAGACAGAGAGAGAGAATAAGGAGACACAGGTGAAGTGCTAATCACTACTTCCAGATTTACTAGCACGTCTCAAGAGGGCGTGTTGAAAAGGATTAAGAACTAAACGGTTCGTTTTTTCATGCACGCATCACTGAGGTGAATAGACAATTGTAGCTGAAAGTGGAAGAGAAACCACCTTCATTACAGCAGGAAAATAGCAGTCATGAGGGGCTACTAAAGAGGCAGCAGTCAATATGCTGCTTGTGTGTGGGGATGAAAGGGATTGCAGCACTGCAAGGAGTGCTCAGAGACATTCGATCGAATGAGAAAGCACTAATGAAATGAAAGTGTGTCAGGTGGAAATGAAGAGGCTGATCTTGTCCTCCCAAGTACATGAAATTGCTCTGCAGAACAATAGTGATTGAAGGAGGAACACTGGGCTTGGCCACATCCCTGCTGGATGGAGAATGGCCAGCAAGGCAGTGGCATCTCAGCCTTGGCCCAGTGGTCAGTGTGTGATGTGTTGGCTGGCAAGGAGGGGTGGCACAGGACCCAGGCAGTACCAAGGTGCTGCATGTGCAATGCCAAAGGACAAGACAATAATRGAAGGTACCTGCTGCATGAGGACCTGTGGTGGCAGGACAGATCCCTTCTCTGATATCACTCAGTGATATCACTCTGCTTCCCAGTGCCTCTGCTTATTGAGGGTAGAATTGTAAGGACTTAGGATCTTAAGTCACATTTTCAGCATGAACACTGACAGCCAAATCTCAACAGTATCTTGCCTGTCTTGTGCATCAAAGCTGCAGACCCACAAAAACACACCTGGTCCTAGAGGGATGTGCATGGCCTCAGCAGACATTGGTTCATAGCTTATGTTTGCTCATGACTGAGAGATGGGATGTCCAGAGACACAGGTTTGCTCTTTGCACGAGGCCAGGGCAACTTCTGTGCTCTTGCTGCAAGGACATAGACCTCTGAAGCCAGGAGAAGAAACAGACTTTGCATGTATGTGGTGACAGACCATAATTTCCTTTCTCTGCRGCAAATTAGGAATTCACAGTTATTTTTTAAAGAACAGCTTTGACAGGATGTTACCTACATCCTGTCAGGCTACTTCAGCACCGAGTTTCACAGTCTCACTGAGATTTTACAGTGTCCCTTCAGTAGAGGTGTTTTGCTGGAGAACTTGCATTAAGTTTAGCCAGTGTTTTTTTCAAGGCTAAGAATATTTGGGTTTCTCTCTTCCTCTTCACTCCTCCACTCGCTCCTAAAAATTCAAGCCCTACATAAGTATCCATCAATCTTCTACCTGGGCCTGATCCACAGACCCTGAGTTTTGGATTAGACCACAATAAACACAAATTAAAAATAACAAGTCATTAATTTTTAAAGGTCAATGATTTTTTTTAAACAAGTCCCTGACTTTCAAACAAAGCTGTGGAGGCAGGAGGTCATAAAGCCTGGGATACAGTACAAAGGTTAAGTATGAGTGAGCTAAGATAACCATTTCCCTATGAAACCAATTAAAAAGCAGATGTTACCTGTTAAGACACACAAAGGGAAGATCTGGCAGGTTTAACGCCTACTGTAATAGTAAATTTGTTTTAGACAAGTGGTTTTTAAAGGTCAGCTCCTGATCATCTCTATTTATCAAAYCAATTTTTTGATCCACTGGATTTTTCAATTGCACACAAGGTATCTGAAAGGCTGCAGTAGTGTGTTGCTTCCTTTCTCCAGGCAGAAGATGAGTTTGTGTACTGGCCAAGTCGTGAGGAATCCATGAACTGTGAGGCCTTTACTGTGACCCTTATCAGCAAAGACAGACTGTGCCTCTCTAATGAAGAGCAAATTATCATCCATGACTTTATCCTTGAAGCTACCCAGGTAAAGTAAACCTYCAAATGTGGGTCTCTCCTTTTCACCAAAATGATATTGCTATTTAAATACCAAAGAAGAAGAGTTCAGAAAAAGTTTTTAAAAGGATTTACTTGTAAATGCATGTGGATGCATGTTGCTCTCGGGAAAGGGATTCTTGTTGGCTCCTTCTCCCTCTCACATCTTCTACTTCCAGGTAGATTTCTCTGGCTAGTAAGACTGTAGTATTAACTGTCTGCTTTGCTTGAAAGTGAAGATTCGATTTTATCAAGGTGTATTGTCTTATTTCTGCTCACATGCATTTATAGTTTAATTGTTTGGGGGTCTTAACTAAACATGAAAATGTAACCACAATCCTTTTGAACTATAAACCTGTTTCTAGCTTGCTGTCTGGATTGCAGCTGGACTTTGCTTCAAGACATCAGTTTGCAAGTCCTTTTAAATTTGACTTGGTTGCTCTTGTTTAGCTTTTGAACCATAAGGGCTCTGAGAGAGGTTTGGTATGAGCCCTGAACTCAAATAAAAATCTTTTCTTGATTAAACATTGTGATACACTTGTATTATTTTAGGATGTTTGCTATTACAGAGATGCTGGAGCTGCGTGTAAGTCCTCTTTCTATGTATTTGGAAGAATACAGTCTCCCTTCAGTTTGCAGTGAGGCTCTYCCCTCTCTGCCTGGAGTGGAGGAAGCTGATGCCAGGCTGGTTTGTCGTTGCAGGATGACTACGTTCTGGAAGTKCGCCACTTTCAGTGTCCCAAATGGCCAAACCCCGACGCTCCCATAAGCAGTACCTTTGAACTTATCAATGTAATCAAGGAAGAGGCCTTAACGAGGGATGGCCCCACCATAGTTCATGATGAGTATGTCATCAATTTTTTCCCATTTATGTGCAGATTGTACACTCAGCTAAAAGACRCTTGTTAGGACTGATGTCCATTCCTGAATAGAGTAGAGGGGGTTTAGTGGTCCAGGGAACAAGATAAGGATATTTAAACTTCCAAGGATGAGTTTTCAGTTGGCATCTGAGGCCAAATACGTTTTGCTTAGTGTAGTTTTTATGTTGGTTATAGTCTTAGGTGGACTCAGGAGGTGAGACTGTTTGCGTTGGAAGAATTTTAAGTTCTTCTGCTCCTAGAAGTATCCCAAGTAAATCCTACAACCTGTGTCAGAACCCGGCAGGGCTTTGGTTTATATAAGGCTCTAAGCAGCATAATGTGGGCTGATGGAAACAAGTTTCAAAACAGCCCAAGCTCCCGTCTAGCAGCTCTGGTTTAGTGTGCCACATAAGACAGAACAATCTTAGCTCAGCTCACGATGAGCAGCAGAAGTGTCTTGTGACAAAGGACCCTGGTCTTCTGAGAGCAGATTTATTTTTCCACCTTCTGCTTCCCAAAAACACTCCAAGAGGCCCATATGGTGCCAGTTGGGAGGGAGGTCACTAACACAGGGCCAGCATGCCCCAACACTTGCCTCTTTTGTGGCACAGCGGTGAGCATTTTCCCATCAGCTATGCTTGAACACCCAATTATAAAGGGCAGTAATATTGCATTGAATATTACTACTTGCACACATTATAGAGCTGCAAAATACCATCATAGTGAGGCTGGAGCCTGGGTCTGACACGATCTCTTCGGAGGGATTGTTTCCAGGTGGGCAGAGCACTTCTGGAGTCGTTCTGTCCTTAAAATCCCAAGGAGGCCCAGCTTTTGTGCTGTCCTTGGAGCRAGCACCAAGCCAGCACAAACCCTGCTCTGCCTGGAGCCCCCTGTGCTGCAGCCCGTCAGATTTGACACTGCCACAAACAGAATCCGTGGGAATACCTTGGGAATCTTTGCAAAAGCCTCACAACCACGCTTTGGTGTGTCAGTGGTCAGAGCAGGCGCTGTGCTGGTGTCCCAGGAGGGCACTCGTGTCCACCGGTGCTTTCCCTGCACGTCCCCGTGTCGCTGCTGCCACAGATTTTTCCCAACTGATTCCTGCAAATGGTGCCTTGGGCTGCAGCAGGTAGTTTTTCTCCCACCACCTCCTTCTGCCTTTTTTAGCAGAGTTTAAGCTCTGTTGCYTTTCACCAGCACTGATTAATTCCAGGCTGGTTTTAATATTCATGCTTTGGGTAGTCTGAAGTGAGGTTTTGCTACTCTTGCAGTATTTAAGATTATGTTTTACAAAATTAGAACCATTATTGATTTGGGCATTTCATTGCTAGATGAAAAAAAAAAGAAAATCAAAATCGCATTCCTAGCAGTGCTGAGTCATTCTTTCTGTAAATTGCTTTTTTGGTTTATTTGTCATATTCAATGATTTTATTTTTATGCCTAATACATAATGTGGATTCGGCTTTTCATTGGAGTCTAAGCAAATGTAGCTGAAAATGAAAATTTCCCTTTGCTACATGCAACAACTATATCACATAATCCACTAATAATTACAACTGCAGATTAATTCCAAATATATGAATTTGCAGACAGCTAAATTCATGTGGTATTTAGGAAGTACATGGTGGGATGAACTTGATAACATTTTAAAAAGTTCAGAAATTACAACTTGAGACAGTTGTCAAGATTTTTAAATATAACTGCCCATGTGTAGGCAACTAGATAAAGATCTGCTGCATAATTTTCTGCAAGAAAAGTCTTCAGATTGTTGGGAACTGGAAATTACCAGCCCAAGTGAAAATGAGGCCATTAGACCCTCAGAGGCATTTAAGTGTGTCCTGTCAGGTACATGCACTGGGCACTTTGTCCACGGTCCCTGTGGATGATCAGTCACAGCCATCTCTATGGTGCTGCTGCTTCTCCTGTAGACTTTACATCCAACAGAGCAGCTCTGTTGTGATCTGAGTTCTGTTTTYCTTTTCTAGGTAAACTGAGTTTGGGTTTGCAAAAATCATACAGAATTAAGTTGTCATATGTCTTGATTTCCACAGGAATGCTGTACAAATCCTGGTGGTAATCTTGCAATACAGGATGGTGTTGCAGCACTTGCTGGTTATTTCAGTTTTCACATAAAGCTCTCCAAATGGCTTAGAGAGCAGGTCAGCACCAATGTTCCCATTTACCAGTGGGAACATTTAGACACAGACTTTCTCAAAGTCACAGAGCAGAGCCATAGCACAGGCAGGACAGGATTTCAGTCTCCTGAGTACCGAGAGGGCAGGGAAGAGTGGCCTCAGAGGCTGTTGTGTAGGATCCTTTGTTCTGTGCCTCACACCTGCACGTCCAGCTCAAGCACATCCCCAGCTTTACAGCAGTGAGGTTTCTACCTGACCAGTRTCTCAAGGATATCTCAAGGACTGAGTCATGCTCCTGACAAATAACTGCTGCTTGGGATTTTATTACTTGACAGCACAGCTCAACTCTTCAAAATCTGAATGTCTCCTGGGTGCCTGGCTCAGGGATGTTGCTTTTACCATGAATCAGACCTAGGGAAGACTTTGAGATGTGCCYGTTTACCTGTGAGCACCACACAGCCGTGTTAGTTTTGTGCAATTGTCAGATGTGAAGGAAGAGCAAAGTCTCATTACTTTCCAATTGCTCGTGTTTTGCTTGAGCTCCCACTAATGAATTTAAAATGTGCTYCACTGTAATGCAGATGCTCTCAGACCGTGTGATGTGGGAGAACTGATTTCAGTGTTACAGTCTCCAGGATGGGTATTTTAAAATGGCTCACGTTCTGCTGCTGATACAGAATTATTCTTTGTGTTGAATAGTGCAGATAACCTGAGATGACTGGTGAACCATCAAATTTCTTCTATAAATTAAAATGACAAACTATTAGCCACTACAAAACAAGCRTTTAATAGATACAAAGATGAACTACAGTAATTAAATAAGACTTYACACAACATTTTCATGATTCTGCGTCAGTGCCCAGCTGTGTTTCTGAGTAACTCCTCGTTTTGGTGTGGTTTTCCAGGTATGGAGCTGTGTCAGCGGGAACTCTATGTGCCCTTACCACTCTGTCSCAGCAGCTGGAGAATGAAAATGCTGTCGATGTTTTCCAGGTGGCAAAGATGATAAATCTTATGCGGCCTGGAGTATTTACAGACATTGTAAGTCTTTAAATGGAATATAAATAGTTTACAAGGTTTTCATCTGAGACCAAAAGCATGAACTAAAGYATGCATTGTGTATGTTATCACGCCCTACAGCATTTGCTACCAAATTTGCATTTGAACTTTCTTTTGTGTAGCTGTCATTTTTTATTAACCTCAAAGCCACACTGTAAGTCTCAGATTTGCACCTAAACTTACTTCTCATACTTTGGAGGGGCTATGGCCTCAGATTTTGTCCTGCCCTCCTGTAGTGTTTAATAGTATATCAGAAATAATATAATCTAYCCAAAACTGGAGTTTGAGTTTATAAGGATAAACTGGATGAACAGAGGTTCTGTTTCTTAGCTATGTATATGCTTCTGGAAATGAATACTCATGACCTTCTCTAGAAATGCCAAATTTAAGTGCCACTCATTTACATAYACTTAAAGGATTGAAATGAGTTGTTCTTTCTTTTTCAGGAACAGTACCAGTTTCTTTATAAGGCAATGCTAAGCTTGGTCAGCACTAAGGAAAATGGAAAYGGTCCCATGACACTGGACAAAAATGGTGCTGTGATGGCCAGTGATGAATCTGATCCCGCAGAAAGCATGGAGTCTCTTGTCTAATTGGAAACCTGAAAAGGCACTTAATTTGTAGAACTTCTGAAGACTGAGTGAACTTTTTTGAGGCCTTTTTTGCCAGACTCTAGGTTATACAATAACCCAATTACTTTTTTACACTGATAAAAGTTTTGATATTTATTTTTTGCCATTTTATGTCTTAATGGTATCCTACTGAGCATTTGCACCTCTGTTTATTTCACACAGTGAAACGCAATTTTATCTAGTTTGCACTATATGATCAGTGTTACTGCCTATAATATCCTAATACAAGACAAGCCCTGATGTGACATTCCATGACAACAAACATACGCTTTTTCTGTTTTGTTTAAATGCAGTGAAGTTTTGCTAACTACAGTGACCCTCGAATCTTAAATCTTGAATGCTAGGCCAGATGGATTCTTTCTACAACTGATACTGTACCCCTTCATACCATATTTATTATTTAATGATCATGTCACAGTTTTGGTAACGGTGTTCTGCATTCCAGTGGAGTGGATGAGCAGTGTTCATCCTTTCTTGACAAAATGTGGCAGGTGATTATTAGCTACAGTGAAGGTGTAACAGCCTTGTGGAGCTGAAACAATTATTTCTGTATTGTTTCAAATTGCTGTGTTGTACACTTRCAGGCCTGAGACTTGCTTCACATGGAATATATAAATTACGTAATATAATTATAAATTAGATGCAATTAATATGTGGGACACGGTGATAGGTTTTGGATTTACAATTTCAATGTTTCCCCATGTATTCAGGAAAATGTTGATTTTGGCTTTTAACCTGCCCTGTGATGGGAAAGTATTTTGGTTTTATTTTCATCAGAGCCAATACAGTGAGAAATCTACTAAAACCCAAAATCAGACTTGTTTTCAGCTATATTGAAGGTAGCAATATTTTACATTACTAAGCTATTCAATATTTTAAACACATCTAATTTCCTTACTATTTCTTGAATATGACCTCACACCTAATGGTATGTTACATGATGACAGGCGTTTCTTAATTTCATAACTGTTAGATGCCATTTTTACAGGTGTGTAATTTTCATACTTTAGTGCTAAAACATAAAGTACTGATCCATATTTACTGGTGAAGCAAACTAATAAAAAAAACTACCTATAAAGCTACATTCTCCCTCTTTTTTTTGCCAGACTAATTCTTTAGCATAAACCTAGCTTATTGTATTTTCCCTCCCACTCCAATAAAATGGTTTCCCCCAGATTATATAAATAATTGAATTATTGTTTGGAGCATTTAAGTTTACATCCTCACTGGCTCCCTTTTCCTTTGTATTTGGTTGCAATTCMACAAGGTCCATCCCTTTTTAACAAAAGAAGTAATCACATGCTTAATTCTCCTGAAAATTAAAGTTGTGTCCTTCATAGCTTGGCTGAGTAGGGAGGGGTTATTGAATCTGGAAAAGGAAATATGTGATTTCAGTCATCCTGACCCTTGGTGTACAGTTAAAGGCACTATCCCTTATATGTGGCATTAGTTTCTTCACTTTTAAATTTYGACTGCAGAAAAACATGCATTGTAATTTTTCAGGACTTGTCAAAATATTACAGCATCKTTTTTTCATTTAAATGTAAACCTAATAATTTCTGCCAGTCCGGTCACACTGAATACAGACATTTGGCAGGGTTCTGTATTTTCACTCACAAGGAAGCTGAATGCAAATTGCTTTAAAGGATATTGAGAGTAGGTTCAGAACCTCTCAAGGTGCAAACTGATACAGCCTCGCTGAGAGCAGAGGAGCTGTGCAAACTGGTATGTGCTACCATTTGGCCTTTTATCTTAATATGAGAAGGATTCAAAGGATTCATGGATTCATCAGCAACCTTTTACACAGTCACCTTTTACTTCTCAGTTTGTTGAATCCCTCCATACAAGCGATCCCAGTAATTGCTAATGCCAGACAATACAAGAAGCCCATGGTTTCAATAAGGAAATCCCATGTCCAGCAACAGCTAGTCCAAATAAAAAATGTGCAGAATGTTTCAAAAGCCTCTAGTTTGCATCCCCTTTGCACTGCATGGAGGTGGGGGTCAGCTGATTTCTGGCAGGAGTTAGGACTGGCTCTCCAGTCGCTACACCCCAGTAACAGAATGTTTTACATAAGTTTTCAAGGTGCTGCTGCCTGGAAGGTTTYGCTGAGCAGTTTTCTGGCCAGCTTGCATCAGCCTCTGAGGCTGCCCATGGCCCCAGTCCTGAACCTGGCTCCAGGCAATGCCAGCTGGTGGCACAAAGGGRCTGCTGAGTTGGATCAGTTCGATCTAAAGTGTTTAAGTTCCTGGGGAGGTGTAGGGGGAAGTTAGGAATTCAAACCCTGACAACTAAGTGACACAAAGATTACTGCAGGCATCAAGAGGGTTGGATTTGTTCAGTACTTTCAGGTGATTATTTTTCATTTCACTGGCATGATGGAAGATAACTGTGGTTCATGACACACTGCCTGAATACCCTTGGTTTAATCCCTTACCTTCTCACAAGTTTTAAACATGAATGAATGAAGGCTGCGGGGGTTGAACTTTGGTAGATGCTTTGGAAATCCATGCATTTGCATTGGCATTTTCCAACACCTGAAATGCTTGCTGGGGGTTCAATCCATGGGGAAATAATGTACACTGATGTTCTGTGAGTTCTCCATGGAGCATTTCGTAAGGGGGCTCGAGCTGTATGTTAAATGTTGTGCTGACAGTCAGGTAGCTAATAGATGGTAGCGATGCACGAGGCTCAAAGGGGTGAGGATGGAAATTGCTTGGGAAGGTCAGGATTAAGCAGGCAGAAGAGCCAAATCTATCCTCCTGTAAGCACCTGCAGTTCTCTCTTACATGGGTTTGCACCCTTTCCTTGCACTGAGTGTCAGAAGGAGCAATGTCTGCTCCAAGATGGGCACTGATGAGCTCTGCTGATGCTCCCACGAGCATCTGGCCAAAGTCCTGCTCTGCAAATCACCACCTTGCTTTTGGCACCCCAACCCCCCCGCTGTACCCACCTCCTGGCATTCGGTCAGGATGTCTTTCAAACATCAAAGGTTCCCAAACAATTGCAGGGTTGCAAATTAAGAGAACCTGAGAACRTTCCTATATCACTGCAAAGTGTGGTCCTCAGCACCAGCCCTGAGAAATAAGGAAGGGAAGGACTGAAGCACATGTGTATGTCTGCATTTAGAAAATACCATTTCTCCATGTCTTTCATGTGTGCTGCACCTGCAGACTGTGTCAAAGACATGAACTGTGTGTTGAGCCCATGAGAGCAGCCAAGCATTCCAGGTGGGAATGCTTGGAAAGCTTCTGTCTCATGTTAACATCTGAAATAGGTGGCAGGATCAGAATACCCCTGATTCCTCCAGACAGCCCTGTGTGTGAGCTTGGCTTTGGTAGGAAGCTCTGGGAGAGCCAGTGGGACTGCTCAGGGGTGCAGGCTAAGCACTGAATCTTCAGCACGATCAAGGTCTAAAGAATATTCATTYTAAAGAACATTTGTCCTCAATATTTCAGTGTCTGTTTCCAACCACTAATTTAGAAACAGGGAAAAAGAAAAATCCAAACCCTTTAAACTATTTCTTGTAAATGACTGTTTCTSTACTGTGGGTCTGTTCTAGGTTATGTTCTAGGAGTCATTTACAGGATCTGCAAAATTTCAGTTGTTTTTCCACTTTCTGACTGCTCGAATTGCTTGAACATAGAGTGATACATTGGAACATTAGGAGAAGAATCTTTATGATACAGCACAACTGCCTTCTCATTAYCTTTTTTAAAGCTGATGTATTTTATTTAAAAGCTAAAAAATATAGATATCAATTCTACCAAAGATACACGCTACTAATTCTCAGCAAAACAAAACCAACTTAATTTAAAAAAAAATGAAATGTAGTTGTCTTAAAGATTTAGCAGTCTTTCTCAAATTCATGTCTTTTGACATCAGATCTTGTGTTCCAAAGTTTATGTTCAAATGGTGCCAGTGAATTTTTATATGAAGGGAAAATGCCTATTTGTTTGCATTGCTTTTCTTCTTTTTCTTTTTCTCTTTTTCAGATGTAATTCACTGTTACCCCTTTGCTCTTCTTCTCTTTGTTGCCATTCTAACAATGTGAACTACATTGGCTTTACTTATCAAAGGAGAAGGAATGCAAAAATAAGGAAAGAGAGGAACTGTAATAAAGAGATTTGGCCTCTACTTTGTCTTAGCTGTTAAACTGTTTTTAGTGTTTTTGTTAACTATTTGCAAAGGGAAGCATTTTCTACAGAGGATAATTAATTTCAAGAAAAATGTCTTGAGTTTTAAGAATAAACGTCTCCAAAAGAGGAGATAGTCAATTTTATACAATGTCACAACTCTCCAACATTTGGGGTAGTGACTTTTTTTTGTTTTGTTAGAACACTTGAGACTAGCAAGCAGCCATTGTTTCTAAAGACCGAAGCATTCATGTGTACTCCTGTTTTCTTTTCCTTCATTTTTAAAATAGCAAAGTCATTAAAACTGTAAATATTTTGTTGCTTGGATAAGCATCTTCTGGGAACTTTGTATCTATGGTATATAATCATAGAATTTTATATTTTCATATAAAGCTAATTTTTTTCTAGTTTCACCTCCTTCCTAGTTCTGTGGTGGCTATGTGAATACAAACCTTCTGTGTTTCAAGGTAGTGAGACACCATCATCACACTCCAAAAAAGATTTCCACACATGTCATTTCTTTGGGGCAGTGATTGTGAAAGTTGGATATTTTTTTTKGATTCCATTGTCAGTGTGTGCAATAGGAATTAGACTTAGCCAGTCACTGGATACGTTTGTCTCATTGATCCATTCAGAAAAAAAAAATAAAAATGTGGTGTTTGGTTTGGGGAAGGGTGGGAGGGAGTATTTTGAGGGAGATTTTTTTGTTTGTTTTTTGTTTTTGGGGTTTTTTTGTAACTTGAAGAATCTTCTTTTTGTTATGTTAAACTATATCAAATCATTCTATTATAGTGTTATTTAATATGTAAATTGTATTGCTATACATAAAATAAAGTATGGTTTTTGATGTATTTACAGACTTCTTCCTTATTTGCATCAGATACACRTAAGGAACAGATGCAGGAGTCAGTATTTCATTGTCCCAGGCATGCAGAAAGAATGATGAGATCCAAGGCCTGCTTTAATTAGATCTCAAATTTCCAAGCAGTACTCAGCTGGGAACTGTCAGTGACAGTGGAGTTCACCCTTCCTTTCTTAATTGTCTCCAGCTATTAGAGAGCTGCCAGTAAATAACCCCTTCTCTCTCCATCAGTGCTCCTTCCCAGACAATYGTGACCCATCAAAATCCCTTTTGGAAGGGGCTGTCTCCATTCTGAACAGAGCCTCACATCCTGAGCTTCCTTGCCAGCTCCTTTGACATGCCTTTCCCTYGATCTAGCTCTGGTTTACCAGCCTGAGGAGCAGGGACTTCCACCAAGCCACCATCACCTGATTTACTGTGATCAATGGCATCTGCTCACTAACCCCAGCACTGTGGCAGGAAAAACAAAAGTCTTATTCCCATCTCAGACAGACTGAGGAGTACAGATGTTCCAAACTGAGAGACAAGGCAGCAAATATTCCCCATGGAGTGCATTAACAGTCACACCTCACTGCTGCTGCAGCCAGGAGCTGGCACTGAGGTGGGCACACGTGATGCCATCGATGCCCTCGGTGTTTCACAACAAATCCCCAGCAGCTCTGCATGCCACCTCCCGTTCTCGTTCTGGGCTCAGGGCTGTGTTACCTTTGTTGTTGTTCCTGGGGAGAAACCACTTGGGTTTGGGGACAGATTCTTGTTGCAATCTGCTGCTGGCACAGCGGCTGTCCAGGCTGGCAGAGCCTTCAGAAAACAGCAACACTCAGCCTCCCGAGCAGCACCTGCACAGGGACAAAAACCATCAATAACTCAAACCGCTTGTTGATGTAAAATTGCTGGTTAAATCAATACACTCACCACATCTGCTGCCTTCTCTTTGCTGCATTCTCACCTGTAAGGTCCGTGTTCTTGTTGATTGGGAGGAAGAGGGAGGCTGGGATCCTGGATGTGGTCTGTGATCAGTGGGAGCCTGGAATGTTGGATGGGGTCTGTGATCAGTGGGAGCCTGGGATCCTGGATGGGGTCTGTGATCAGTGGGAGCCTGGAATGTTGGATGGGGTCTGTGATCAGTGAGAGCCTGGGATGCTGGATGGGGTCTGTGATCAGTGGGAGCCTGGAATGCTGGATGGGGTCTGTGATCAGTGGGAGCCTGGAGTGCTGGATGGGGTCTGTGATCAGTGAGAGCCTGGGATCCTGGATGGGTCTGTGATCAGTGGGACACTGCAGCACAGCCTGATGAGCCCTGCCAAGCCCCTGCCCCACAGCCCCTTCCTCATGCTGCACCCCAGCAGCAGCYGGACACCATCCCACCAGCAGGTCCTGCTGCCTCATGGGTGAGCCAYGCCTGTTCTGGGGGATGCTCCAGTGGCCAGCAGAGCCCAGTGCCCTCTGTAACTATTCCAGGCCAGCAGCAGGCACCCAAGGAAGGTTCCTCTGCCCAGCTTGGCTGCCTCAGCTCCACGGAGAAGACAGCAGCCCCTGCACRCACAGGTAGGTGGGTACACAGAACTTCATAGCAACAATGTGGGAAAATTGTTTTTAAATATAAAATCCTGTTTGTCTGTGAAGGATAGAGCTGATGGCAAGCTGAACACAAACAAACCCCACCTGCTGCAGGGTAGACAAGTACAGGTCTGGCAGGCGTACCCTGGGACCGAGTAAGGACAACTCACAGTCTGCTCACAGCATGGTTACAATCCTCTCATTTTGGGAAGGAAGAACCAGACTGAAGACAGGAGAGCAACAGGAATGGTCAGTGAAAATCCTCTGAGCAAAGACAGGATGAACTGGGACATTGCCTGGTGAAATGGGAGAGCCTGGAAGAGGCAGGAACAGAGAGGCTATGGGACTTGTCTGCTGATACATAAATCACCACTCCTGAAGAAAGGGTGTAACTCTTCCTACACCTTTGATAGATATGACAAAAACCAGAGTTTGACAAGCCACAAGGAAGGTAGGGATCAGGCAGTGGAAACAYGACCTGGGGCAGTGATGGAACAAGAAAAAGATTTCTCTGTAGCAGTTACAGAAATCAGAACACCCCAAGGCAGCCCCTTAAATGACAAAACAGCATTTTCACTAGACAGCAGCAGCTCCAAGGTGCTGCCAGCCAGGTCATCATTGCACAGACAACAAACAGGACAGAGCTCCCTGCACTGCCAAGGTCATGAAGCATTTGCTTCAGGAGGCTCTGGTCCTCCTGAGCCCTCTTGGTGAGCAAGAGACAGGAGTTTGAGAGAAAAGGCAAAGCCTTGGAGACAGAACTCAGATTCCATGCCTGGGAATGCACAGGGAAGAGGCCTGGCTGGGACCTATATCAAGTGGAAAGATGTAGTGAGTAGTTCATTAATACTCTGGCAACAGAGATATGATTTACCAGCACTTCCCACTTCTAACAATATGTCTGAATTAATTGGTGGTATCAGGAGATCCCAACTTCTTCTGTAATAAATAGCTAACGAGTTTAGCCTTTAAGGCTTCCAGAGGCTGCTAGCAGTCATGCTAAGCAGGCACAAATAATAGCAGCATTTTTATTAAATGGATTCAAATGCCAGAAGGTATATTTTCAAGACCTTTTACAACATAAAAATAATTTTGATCAATGGCTTGGTCCCAGTTCTATTACTTAGCCACTTGAAACACCACAAAGTGCTTCCTGCACTGACGTGTCACCCCCACCTGCTGGCAGCCACCTTATTGATCACTGGTGATTTCTGCTCTCCTTTGCTGCCAATCAATGGTTTTGATGTCTTTCTGACTTTGTAATGCTTTAAGAAGCAACAYTTCACAAAGCAATCTTTCCTGACACTGTGTTCAATTAATCTGACAGTCACTGGGCTTGCTTTTCTTTTCTAAAGTTGTTATCTTCCTTATGTCTTGAAATCCTTGTTTAGGAGTTGACGCCTGCTTCACTGGYGTTTTATGCCATGGTTTTGAATTTTGAAAAGATTCTGCATTTCAGTGCCATGTCTTTTATGGGAGCCGTTTCCAATATTTCACATTTCCCTGTCTCTGTGTCTGTGAGCCATGCTTTCTGCACAGCTCATCATTTCTGTCACTCCCAAATTCAA